TGAAAAAGGTTTGAATTGAAATGCTGAAGGAAACTAAGCTTTGGGTCGCCGATATGGGGATGTAAAGTATATTGAAAGTAATACATATGTTGCTTTGGGAAGCCTAAGTTAGGAGAAGAGGGATAGGAATAATTTGCAAAAGTCACAGAGTGTTGAACTATATTGGAATTGCTACAGTAGGGTCCTAGTGTTAAATCGTCTAGTTGAACTTCAGTCGCTTGAAGTTGATGTTATACAAATATGGCTATGCAAGCCTCCGTAATTTGATATTTTCTTTTACTGAGTACTTTATCTCTGTAAGGAAAGAACTTTTTTTTTTTATGAGAGTGTTTTAGGGTTTTAGTCAGAATATAATGTAAGAGAAAGGCTGCAGAATGATAAGAATTTGATTATTGAGTGTGGATTTATTGATAAATTTTAGTTTTATTTTAATCTTATTTTGTACTTTATGGTAATTATGCAATTGAATAAGAAAGACACTTCACATTTAAAATTTAAGTTGGGTGTAAAACAAGGTTATATAGGTTCAAATAAAATTTTTCTTATAAACATGAACTCAGGTCACTCAACTCAAAGATTAACAAAGCATATTGAAAATATCAACAGATATCAATTGAATACACTAACGTAACTCAATGACTCATTAATAGGGTTGGGTTCGGTTGGCAAACCGTGCCAAATTTCTTGTGCCACTTGCCAACCACATATACATAATTACCAAAAATTAGTTACCATTAGTCAACCATCTTCTTGCGGTTGCCAAAAATCAGTTCAGCCAAAATTATTGGCTAGTTCGGTTGGTAAATGGCACAACTGATGGTTTGCAAATAAGCTACAAAAACAACAGCTCAAGACCATGCACCGACCTGTAAACAACAAACCAGAAAAGAGAAAAAGAAGTTGCTGCTGCAATTTTTCAATTGATGATAAGCCAACATAACCATGACTTAACAAATTAAAATGAAAATCAAGTCAAAACTTAATAAGCCAACAACAATGTCAGCAAACATAATCCAAATAGTTGTAAGTTCACAAACTCAAAAGTCTAACTAATATAATTGTCTAAATTCAATTGTAACAACTAATGCATAAACATAAAACTCAAAACTCAAAAGTATGGTTCTAGTTATAAGATCCCCTAATTATAATCTCAAAACAAATAACTTGTTGTTTTGATAATGCAACATCACTAAGTAGCAGCAACCAATGCATGTGAAATCTTTCATGAATCAATTCTTCGAAGCACTGGGAATTGATGTTCCTGCTTGAGATGTAAAATCATCAACTATTTCAATTCAAATGTGACATTAAAAAAAATATGATTAGAATAAGAAGTAATATAGAATAATAAATTAAAAATATCAATAAACATTGGATTGAAGTACTATGATTAGAAATAGAAAAAATATAGCAATACTTACATTTTTCCAGTTCTTCACATGTCAAGCATGTAAAAAATATCTACAATATCTAAATAGAAAGTATATATATATATATATATAGGTAGGTATGGCATACCGCCGGTACACAGAATCCAATACCAAAGCCATACCATTAGTTGTTCAGTATAATGCCAACCGATTATGAAAAAATACCAAAATTATACCATACCATTATAAACTGACCAGTATAGTTCGGTCGATAAATCGGTTTATGACAAATTTCCCACCCCTACTCATTAAAATGATAATAATATTAGTCAACAGTAATAACTCTTCCCATTTTAAGGTCATTTGTGTTGTTTGGGTTCCGAATCCTGCTTCTCTCTTCTGCAAGAAGGTGAAGCTTAAGAAATTCAGGGGAAGAGGCGAGCTAGTTCCCTAGTGAAAATCAAACACCCTTGTAGAACCCCACCTAACCTTTTCTTTTTCTTTTTTCAAGAAATAGTCTACATTAAGAGGGTAAGGGCTAGCAGTAATTTAATTCAAATTCATATTTGACGAGTGTCGAACCTAAGACTTCTTACTTACAAGTTCAAATTCATATTCAGGGAAGTTGGACATTGACATGGGTTTAATCTCCGAGAAGCAACAATAATCTGAAGAAATCGGATATGGAATTTGGGTTTAGGGTTAGTTTCTCTCTGGTCAAGATTAGAGGACTAGAGGATGAGGAAGGTCAAACTTTTATCACCTTCTCTTCCAACGGGAACCCCGACCCCTACCCTTTGTTTGGGCCCAACTCTTGGATCATGAAAGGATAAGCACCTGTTTGGTGGGTAAGTTGGAGGGAAAAAAAGAGGGGAGAGAATCATAGTCCTAATTGAAATCGGTTGTGACTAATTAAAACAAACTTGAGTTTAGTGTAATGTTTGTTGCGTCAAAATGTGTAATGGATAGGATTAGACATAATGCATTATGAATTCAAAATAGAATAGGTTATATAATGTACCCTTATAGGTAGATTACAAATTCTGTCTTACAAGTACTTGCTAATCTAATCTTATTCTTAAGCCCAATTACACGAAAAATTAAAATAAAAGAAAATGAAATCTTTTAATGCTTACTTCATTTTTAAAGATTAAACCCAATGAAATCGTTTAATGCTTTTAATGCTTACTTCATTTTAAATTTTTATATATGATACTTCATATTTTTTGTACTTGTTGATAATTATTGCATCATAAAGAGAAATTTTTTTATACATCTGTTTGCCCCCGAAATAATATTGTTGGGCCGAGCAGAGGGTTGTGCTCACCCCAAAGCTGTGTCAAATGCTATGGGCTGAGTGATAGGTTCCAGGCCAGTTAGCAGGGTCGGTCGAGTCCTATCCTAAGAAGGAGTGGTCCAGATAAATAAAAAGGGTCGAGGGAGTCCTGGTGCAACCAGGATTCCCGACCAGCAAGGAATAAAACCTCGGAAGGGGGGAAAGTTGAAAGTCCTAATGGGAGTAGGTTTGTTCGAAGTAAAGTTGGAACGGGACAAGGACTCCCAATCCAGATAGGGTTTCGATTCGGTCTCAAAGAATGGGTGCTATAAATACAAGAAATCATGCAACAAAAAAGGGACCTTCAATTCAACATACAATTGCCCTGCGCAAAACCTCTCAAACACCTTGAGATTTTTTCCTTTTCTTTTTTCTGCCAACACACCTTCAGTTTGGATAAACAGCACTGTGAAGGCGACCGGCGAACATCTTCAGTTTGGATAAACAGCACTGTCGCCGTAGAATCAGCCGACCAAGGGGCATCTTCAGTTTGGATAAACAGCACTGCGTCGAGGCCGATTGGTTACCTATCCAAGTCTCGGCCGAGGAGGGTTTTCGGATCCTTATTGGCAGGGGTCATCTTATTAGCCTTCTCGGCGAAGTAAGGTGTCACGAGTTACGACATTCAGCGTATCGGACGCCGAGTGATTTTATGATTGGGTATTCACGAGTGAGTTTTAGAGTTCAGCATTCTGATGGCCGAACCACGTTCACTGTCAAGACATACATTACCTTTGAATACTTGTGTCCGTATAGTCTGGTGTCGATTCGACGTGCTTATATTCTTACGAATATAATCACGGTGACCGAATCAAGCACCGACAATTTGTGAACTTCGCAGAACTAGCAACCTCGTCTTCAGGCTCTAGAACCTAAAGACTGAGAGTGTTCCTTCCTCGGTCGCAATCGCAAGATTAAGAAGTCAGCAACGCGCTCAACGCGGCAACAACGAATTTTACTCCTGGGCCGAGCTCGGCCAACGAGTTGGCACGCCCCGCATTCAACTGAAGGACTTAGTTAGTCGATTAGTTACTCGGCCTGCGCGCCGCGTAGGCATTGTAATTTATAAGGTTAACAACATCACCTAGAAAAATTATAGCTTATTGCTGTGGGTTTATTCCTATACATAACTTTACCATGTTGGAACAAGAAATTTTTATGACTGTAAAGACCTTATTCCTATATGGAGTATTACCATAGAGACTAGAGTGGTTTACTGTATGTATAATGAGAATAAAGTTGGAAGCCTAGAAAAATATTTTACAAACTATAAAAAAAATTAAAAAAATAATGAAAAGGATTTGAAAACTTTGGGTTTTAACGATAAGGACAAAATAAATGGTAAAATGAATAGTACCAGGATTGACTTTTTAGTGTAAAAATATGATTTTTCGTTAAAGTGAACAGTACCGCAGACTTTTCATTAGAACTCCCATAAAAAATTAGAACATAAACTATTGATTACTAAAATCTCCCATAGAATCATTAAAACAAGAGGTATTTGTCAGTTTAGTTTACCCCTGTATAAAGGTGCCAATTTTTTCTCTGAATTTTAATTTTAATTGAGTAATTCCTAAACTTTTATAATTGGTCAATTCCCCTGAACTTTAACTTTAATCGCTTACCCATAAAATTTTATAAGTGGTCAATTTCTCCTAGCATTAGATTTTAAAATTTCATCCATTTTCTGCCCCCCATATAATTGTCATTTGTTGTTCTCATGATTAAAATGGATAAAAAATTAGATAAAAACTTTTAAAGTCTAGGATCAGAGAAAAATTGGCTATTTATAAAAGTTCAGAAGTAATCGATTAAAATTAAAATTCAAGAAAAAAATTGATTAATTATAAAAATTCAGAGATAACCAATTAAAATTATAGTTCAAGATAAAGTATTGACAGCTATATACAGTTTTAATGAACAAATCGACAAATATACTTTGAACAAACGTTTGATTCTACTGATACCTTTCGCTAAAAGCTTTGAAGGGACGTGTGATATTTGACTGAATAGTGAATACCTTTTTAAATTTTTCGGGGCCTATTAGACATGCACTTTGGAGTCTGGAATACCTCACGATTCGGAAAAAAATATCCCGACTGTGCGGGGAGAAGTCTCCCCATGAAACGGCCAATTCTTCCAGTTCTATGGAGGTAGGTTTCTTAAATTCACAAAGAAATTGCTCTATCACTAACACGAGGATAATCCTCCAGCATCCAATCCCAGATTTTCTCACACCCTTATTTAAATAATTAAGCTATATTTCTGTGGCCGAGATTTGATCTGCAAAAGCGCTGGCCAGAGACTGAAGGGGTTTTTGGATGGCCATGGTTCTGTAATCTTTGTTTGCCCCTACCCTCTCTCAGGACTTTCATCAAGCAACTGGCAGGCACATTTTGGGCGTTCGTAGTGGAGCAAAGATGGGTGTGGGTCTGTCAGTTCTGATAGGGTTGAAAGCAGCAGTCTTGTTCTCGTTGTTTGCATTCCTCAGAAGCTCTGGTTTCACTGTGCTTTCGATACCATTTTTGTACGCCTCTCTGGTATCCGCGTTGGTTTCACTTGCTGCTCACCCATCCATAGACCTTCCCATGCTGTTGGGGAAGAACCCAGATGGGAGTTTCCCCGTTTGGTCGATTATAATGTTCAGCCCCTATTTGTATTTCGTTCGCTCTTTCTCGGCGCTGCGGAGATTGCGGAGTAGGGAGGCTCCGTATACTGAAATCTGTGAGGGTTTGTTTGTCGGCGGGTGGCCTTCTTCGCCGGATAAACTGCCACCAGGGGATCCTGCTGTTGTTGATTGCACTTGTGAATTGCCAAGAAAGCCTGAGTTTTCAGGGCATTCTTATTTGTGTGTGCCAACATGGGACACAAGGGCTCCTCCGCCGGCTGCCATTGAATCCGCTGTCAAGTGGGCTTGCCGGAAAAGGGATCAAAATAGGCCTGTTTTCGTCCACTGCGCCTACGGTATGCCGCCTAAATTGAGTAATTTTTCATTTTGGTAATGATATAGATTCACTTGTTTTGCAATGTGTATGCATGTGTGTGTAATACTATATTGGAAAATTGTTTTCAATGCTAAGTGTCTGGCGGTATTAGCTCCTAGATATCTATATAGGTGAATAAGTTGAGGGGTAGTTGTGGTACAATGTACATAAGGTTGCCTTAGGATTAAACCCTATGTAGGTACATCCTGATCAACCACTGCTCTGCTCAGGCTCGTGGTAGATAAGAAACGGGGTATGGAGTTCATGCAGAAAGCTTTCTTGAATTCCATCACTCTTCTTTTTGTGAAACAAATTCCATGAAACCTCTTTCTCAGTGAACTCTTTGGTTTCACCGAGCGCAACATCCCAACACTTGGGCCTGCAGTCGTCCACCAATCTTCTCATGTTTCATTCATGTAGCCTCAAGCCTAATATCCCTGCCTCTTAACTTTTCGATTTGGAAAATTGTTGCAGTTGCTAATGCTATCTTCTTCCACTTCCATCGGCCAAAGCCCCTTGCCCAACACTATGTTTGATGGTTCATGTCCTCTGATAGAATTGGAAGCACATCCATAGCCAACGTGTCATGGTTTTGTTTAATCATCCAAAACTTCATAGGCATCTTCTCCTGATCCCCCAGAAAGCCCTCAGCAGCTTAATCCGCTGCCCCTTAATTTCCTAGGGCAGTTACTCAAGTTGAGGAACTTGTATCTCATACAAAAAATTTGTAATAGCATTGACAAGTTTGTTGGTTTACTTACCAGTATTCACACAAGCTTAAGCTGTTTAGATGTGGTTCAACGGTTGTTTTATATTTTAGCATTCCCACTCACAAGTAGGTCACTCTCCACTTTTTGAGATCAATATGTGGAATTAAACTTATTTAGGGAGGATTAAATTGCAGGGATTCAAACTCAGGATTTCTTGCTTTAATACCATGATGAAGGTTGTTAGTTTACTACTATTCCCAAAAGTTTAAGCTGTTAGAACTTTAGAATACGGGCCAGCATTGTTCTATATTCTAATTACATTCCTTATTACTATATGGTTAACTTTGTGCCTTCTTGTAGCAAGTTGTACCTTGCTCCCTCTGATTTCTTACACAACCTAACTAACCCAAATCAAGTCAGCATCATCCATTGTTTACCACTCAGCACTTGCTCACTTCATATCCCAACCGCCTGCTCAATGGCAACCTAATAGCAAAAGCCCACAGTTGTGGCAGTTATATGAAATTTAAATGCCTTTAAAGAGTTCACACAACAGAGAACAAAAATAATTAGGTAAGTGTAGATGTGTTATAATTGCAGCACAACAAGAGGGTGAAATGATTCGATCAGGTTTGGGCTCTTTGTCATATGGGAAAAGTTTTCCCCGTATTAAGCACTAATATATTTTTAACGTCTAATTAGATCGGGTAGTCATTCAATTTTTTTTTTTTGAAACACTCAATACTCTGCACTAATCTATTGTCTTACAAAAAGAAAAGGAAAAAGGAACTTAATTGTCATATTAACTCTTATATTGCCTTGGTTCAGTTTCCCTTGAAACCACTCCGACTGTCTCATTTTTTAAGCTGGATAAGACCTCCACTCATTTCTTATGGAGAAACAATGCTGTCACTGCTATTGGTTTTTAGAAATACAAGTCACACACAGTTATTAAATTTAAGTTTGCACTTACACTGATGTTATGTGCCTGATGTTACGTGCAGAATTAGTCAAACTTTTGGCCACTAGATTTATAGCTTTTCTTTGAGCGAATTTGTTGAGGACATCACTGAAAAACCATTTAAGGTTTAACAAGTAAAGAGATGGAAGAAAAGATGATTTCATTCAATATTATCTTTGTGGTTGGATTACGTTCCTGGGTTGTTTGTTTGTTTCCTGAGGATTTTAGTTTCCCTGTTTTAGTTAGGATTTGGCTTGGTTTTCTATACAAATTTGGTACGCTCTCTGTTGAAGCTTCTTGTTAAGGTTTTGACTTGTTTCATTAAGATCTGTGCTTTATATAACACAGCTATTCTGCTATAAAATAATACCTGAGGCATGCAGTTATACTTGGATTTGGGAATGACTTGGAAATTCAAACAAGATGGAGCTGCCCGGGTTTATAGAATTTACGATTTAAACTTAAAAGGCCAAGCTTGGAGGTTTCGGGTGATTAAGGTCACGTCCCTACATATATAATCCTTAAGACTGTAACCTTTAACTGTCTGGTTGAAAAGAAAACGTAATGCTGCGTACTGAAATGGTTCTGGACTCAAATCAAAAACTCTCTTTTCAATGTGCTTACAATGTTTGATATGAATACTGTAAAGTAAACAGTTAAATCTAAATCCTTCATTTCAAATACACAAATAATGCAACCATAGTGAAATGATTGCAAACAGTTCCCATTTAAGTTGTTAAGTTTCTTGTCTAACTGGTGGGATTCTCATCATCCCTTTCTGTGAGAATCCTTTGTGTATTTTGTAACAAAATTCCGCTGTCTGTTTCTTCATAGTATTGATATTTGATTTCTCAACTATTTGAACGGGTGCAGGTAGTGAGTTGTAACTAGAAACTCTTTTGTAATTTCCTGTTTAGGTCATGGGAGAAGTGTAGCTGTCATGTGTGCACTACTAGTTGCTCTTGGGGTGGCAGAGGACTGGAAAAATGCTGAGAAACTAATTCGAGAGAAACGTCCTTACATTAGGATGAATGCTTTACACCGCATGGCTCTGGAAGAGTGGTCAAAACATCGGTTATCTCCTTCTAAGAAGAATTGATAAATTAAGGTAATAGACAGCCATGGTTTCCTGTGTTGCAGTCGAACTGTTGACCCGGTGAACCTCATGTGGAACATGAAGCCACCAGGCTACAAAGAGACCGGCGACAGCCATGTATGCTGATGCTACTGTTAAGTCGGGAAACTAAAATTAGTCCTTGCAGACTAAACAATAATTATCAATATTTCTTGAACAACTTAATGTGTATAATTATGCATAAACATGATCTGCATTTTTAAGATGTATGCTCAACTTAACCCTGAGTTATTTCCAAGGGGGACGTTCGTCCTCTTGGTATGTTGTTCCTTTTTTCATCTCCTCTCTCCCTTCTTTGAACATTTAACATCCCAAATTTGTTGCTGCAATTGGTTGGGCACCATTGCACAATAAAAACTAGGGAGTTTTAATGAAAAGTTCACGGTATTGTTCACTTTAACAAAAAATCATATTTTTACACTAAAAAGTCAATTATGGTACTATTTACTTTACCTTTTATTTTATCCTTATCATTAAAACTCAAAGTTTTCAAGCTTTTTTTATTAGTTTTCCTTTAAAACTACAGCTAATTTTCATTTTACTATCATCAAGGTTTTCTAATTATTGCTTTTAGTACCCAGGGTTTGTATGTCCCACTTTCGTCCTCAAACATTGATTTTTCTACCGACTAATGTTAAGGAGATTAAATTTATAGATAAAGTTTGCAAGCTAAATGATGTCTCATCAATTAAAAAGAAGCAAGTTTATCAAGCTTAAGTATAATCTAATTATCCACTTTCATGTCATTTAATTTACAAATTAGTCTCTCCTAGCATTATTCTTTTTCTACCTCTTACACACCTTTATTTGTCATTGTCTCAATTCTTTTGTTAATTGATGGCGGTTAACCGATGAAGAATATGGGTTATAAAGAAAAAGACAATAATAAATTCGGCCCTAGAAGGTAGTAGGTCATGTCATGTGCACGGCAATTGAATTTGGATATTGTTATTCACATACTCTTTTTTACAACCTACACACTCTTGCTAATTTTTGAATCTTGATTTTCTTCAATTCATTTAATTTAGTGATCAAAAATTAAGAGAAGTGTGTGAGAAGTAAAATGGATGTGTGCATAGCACTACCTTGATCTTATGAAAAGATTGACAATTTGTTATCGCCACATAGTAATGATATTTGGCTTCCTCGAAAACACACAATCTAATTCCTAACTTCCCTTGTAAAACTAATGCGTACGAAATAATATCAAGAGTGAAAAAAATAGTGGATTCCACCTTTAACCAAAACTCCAGTTGATCTCATTTTCTTTTTCTTTTTTTTCCGTTTACGATTTATAACTTCCTCAATTTCGGATAGATTTTTCTCCTCGTCCACACCCATATTTAATCCTAGACGTTATTTTCATTTGATGCGTTGAATCAAATGACCAGAAATAATAAAAAAACACACGTGAAAAACTAAAAAAGTGTATGAAAATCAGCTCCCAATAATATTATTGTTCCAAAATCTTTGAAGTAGAATTAATCAAATCCTATTGTAAATACAGATGCCACACGTGTTTTCCATCGCCCATACCTTTACAGAAATATCAAGGAAAGTGGCTTGGTAGGTTTGTTCGGTTGAAAGGCACTTTGCCTATAAAACAAGCATCCAAGCAAGAGAAGAGAATGTACAGCAAGAAAAGAGGAAAGAAAGACCGAAGGGAATGCAGAAGAAAAATATCAAGAGAGGAGAACATATGATGTTTATTTTCCGGAAGAGATCATTACTCCAGCACCCGCTTTTCTCCGAAACAAATCTGCAAGAACGAGGAAGGGACAAAACAACATTAGTTTTCAAAGTGAGATGTACAACAGATGAAGCAGCAATCAAATATACCATAAAATTTGTTTATTGTCCTAGTGAAAATTGCAAGACAATGCAGGCAGTTCAAGTAAATCGGTGATCACTACTATCCCGCGTTCCTCAAACATCAAATGCCGGTATATTTTGGACGCTAATCATATATTAATGATTCAGAATCAACAAACCAAGGCCAGGAAGCTTCGGAATTATCGTCAGCAGTGGGATGTCCAACTGACAGTCATTCAGAGCAACCGTGTTTCAGCATTAGAACATCAGGCCAAAATTTGTGGTAGTAACCAGGAACGGCATTTCCATTCCCATATCATTCACATTCTGAATCTTGAGGAATTTCCTTCCCCATTGCATGCGAAAAATCCTAATCGGGCAGGCAGAACTGGTTTTACTATCACTTGACTTCATTAGCAACCATTATCATATGATGATTATTTTCGAAAGTCCACGCATTTTTTTCTTTTTATCCAGAGATCCCAAACCCGCTTTGCGAACTCAGATGTGAAACTGGGGCCTCCGAAAGACTCTAAAATCCTTGGGAGGAAGGAAACTGTAGTAAATAGGTACACAGGTATCTTGAGGAAACAACCTCCACGTGGGAGCAAACAACCGGCATAACAAGTTGAGTAAACCCATGAAAACTTGGATGATACTAATGATCAACATCAACATATCTGGGAAAGCATTACCCTGAAGCAGTTTCAGTAATACTACATCTGAGCTTGTGTCCATTGTGTTCTCTTGCATGAGATTTTCATCTTAAAAAGGAAACCGGAGCCATGCGCTTTTCAGCCACAGAAACAGAAAAGGATAAGAGAGCTACCTAAGCAAAAGATGCAGGAAAGAAAGAATTTTAAAACAAAATTACATTTTAATCCAAAAAAAAAAATGCACAAACAATTCATATGAATATAAGTGGTGAACTATGCTAGTTAAAAGCACAAGATGCTATGGGACAAAAATAATTGAATCCATGAGATATGAAGGAACAGTAATAGGGCTAACAGTCAGAAATCTAGACAAAAGTATCCATGAAATGAAACAACAGGAAATTCAGATGCTCAAACAGACTTTAATATTGAAGAATGGGCGATACCACTAATCAATTCATCTCATCGTTGAAATAGAATACAAACACTTTCCTTCTCACTTTTCCACACTATACGTAATCAATATGGAAATAAACAAACATTTTTGTCTCTTTTTTGTTTCAAATCTTAACAAAAGTATTAACCCTGCATAAGCAACTAACCAAGCAAAAACTAGTGCCTTAGGGCACCTTAGCCTTCCAAATTAATAGAAGCAAAGAGATTTCTTGTCGCATAACTTTCTAACACAAGAGTTACATAAAAAGCTTGAAGATTTCAAGCTCCATCTACTAGCATAGAAAATGAAAATAGCTAGAAATTCTCTGACAGCAACAGAAAGATAGCTCACCAACGTCCAAATCTGTATAACTTCTCCTGAAGCTGAATGCCAACTAAATGGAACTAAAGAAGGGTTTACAACACTAGCAATGGATCTCCTTAGCACCTAAATAAAGTATGCCACACTTCTTGTTTTGTTAATTAGACATAGAAATCCAAACCTGACCTGTGGTCACTTACTTTATTGGATCATTCCCTGGCATAACAGTTCATTGCAAATGCATGGATGCAAGTAGGGCAGCAACAAATAAACATGGTAACCTATGAATGATTAAACTCCTCCAAAATGGAAAATCATCTCCTATTCTAAATAGGATGCTGAAGCTCACTTAGAAACCTGAACTTCTTCTGTCATAATTTAAGGGGGGGAAGGGCCTTCTTCAAACATAACAAGCCATATATAATTGCCTTACCATGGCCACATGAATCAAAACAATTATATGCAAACAGGCAAATAAATGTGATTGAAGGACAAACTAAGTCTCGTAGATAATATAATGCACTAGTCGAGCCACTTTTATTTGAGAAGATAAATTAAGTTAATGGTCCACACCTACAATATTAGTATACAAGCAATAAAAGATATTTTGAGGTTTAAGAGAGTGAGAAAGAAAGAGCAATACCTTTCAAGTTGTTATGCTCAAGAAATTGCTTTGTACCCTTCCTTCTCTAGTACTTCTGCTAAGGAGATGTCACCTGTCTTTATAATTTTCCCATCCTCCTATAAAATCATTTAATTAAATAATTAGATCAGTACTGAAAGAGAACCTAGGAACAGTTTTAGAAGCTTACTGTATTCCTCGCAATGATAACTTATTGATTATCCTGTACAATGTTCTAGCAGCCAAATTATATAACCTTTTTTCTATTGCCTTCTAAAAGCTAAGAAAAACCCTAAAAACAAAAGAGAAATTTCTTCTTTTTCCAATCTTCGTGAGTTGATATAGCTCCAAGGTTATGCCCAATTCATATATCTCCTAAACGATGTGTATTAATTCTACTAGTATGTGGAGCTTCTACAATCTAGCTCTCAAATCTTGCCAACTGTGTTCACTCTTAAGTAAAAACAAATACACCAGGAATCCTGGGGAAGAATGCATGAAACAAGCCCTATTTGCTGATGATCCAAACGATATGTTTATGCAATCCCAGAAAAATTACTGGACACATGAAACTAATAAACTCATTTACCTTGTCATACTTTTTTTTGAACCACGTTATACTTTATATTTATAGAGTATCCTTATTACATTTCCTTTCTGTTTTCTAATTTCATGAGACAAATACATGAACCAAGACCCAAAACCTGTCTTGTCAATGTATGTTTTTATATCTTCCAATGACTTACCATAATATGGATACATGTTGGCTTTATAAATTCCAGAAGTCGTAGGTAATGAGTAATCATCAATACAGAATTTGTCGGGGTCAGAAGCCCATTGACTGCCTTTGCTACATCTTGAAGTGCATCAACATCCAGCCCAGAATCAATTTCATCCAAAATAGACAACTCTGCTCCCAAAACCTGCATTTAGCAGAGGCGTTTGAATACAAAGACAAGTAATGAAGTACAGTACAGCTTACATGAATTCCAAGGAAAGACAGTATCTCCGGGGAAGAAACCCACTTCCCACAGCTTTACATATTTCTACAAATATTGTAATTATGATGCTAAATATCCAACACAAACTTGATATCAGGCATTTCCTTATAAATGAAGTTTTGATCAAGATTACAAAAGAAGCAGTAATATTAACTAAGAATGATAACCATACCGCCAGTTGCAAAATCTCATTGCGCTTCTTTTCACCTCCACTGAAGCCTTCATTAACATTTCGATTAAGGAAGTCCGTCTTCATGTTGACAAGATTAAGTTTGGGAAAAATATAAGCATAGAACTGCAAGGACATAAATAAGATATAAGAATGAATCAATAAACCACCAGAGACATCTCAAACAGCGGCTTTGGACGAGAATGAATGGTTGTAGCTAGCTTGCCTCAATCGGTCCAAGCTCGGGCAGTCCTAGTTTCTTTCTGCGAGCATTGTACGCCATGCTGAGAAAATCAATGTTGGTGACACCAGGGATCTCAACTGGGGACTGGAAACTCATAAAAAGCCCCGCAAGTGACCGGCCTTCCGCTGGCATTTCAAGCAAGTTTTCCCCTTTAAACACAACACTACCTCCGGTAACTTGGTATTCCGGATGCCCAGCCAGAACCTGAACCAATGAACAAACGAATGAAGACAAGAATGACAAAATTAGGGTGTGTTTGGAAGTCTTAGAAAAGGACTAAAAATGCTTTTGATGAAAGTGTTTTTGAATCCGGTAAAAATACAAATGAATCCTAAAAAAGCACTTGACGTCAACCACGTTCACCAAAAGCACTTTCACACTTCATAAGGAGCCCTTGATAATACGGACCTTGGCGAAAGTGCTCTTCCCTGAACCGTTCTTTCCCATAATAGCATGAACCTCCCCTTGGTAGACAGAGAGGTTGACGCCCTTGAGAATCTGCTGTTTGGATTCGGCAATCACGGCCGTTAGATCCTCAACTTGGAGTAGCAGCTCCTTCTCTCCTTCCCCTCCTCTACTGCTGGAAACTGAAGCTTCCGCGGCGGAGGAGAGGCTACCTTTCACCTTCACCTTCACCGCCGTCAGAGACCGCAGCTGCCGGTGGCGTGATGGCCAACAGAGGGGGCGGAGGGCAGAACCTGTACATACTGGGGACTTGGAGGGTGAATAGCTGCTAACAAGACAAGTAGCAGAAGAAGAAGAAGATTGCAGCGGGGATGGTGGTAGTGGGGCGGGAAGCGTACATGGATGATGGAATCGCAACAGCGCCATTGGACTGTTATCGCTGCAAGTGCAAAAAGCCCAAAGTATAATTCAACAGGAATGCCTAACTGTAAATTAAGGGTAAATTACATTTTACCCTAATAATTACAACTTCATACAACATTATAAAGACATTTTAAAGACATTTTAATCTCATATATTTAGTATTATTTTATGCTATTGATGCAAATCTCATATATTTTAACCTCATACAACCATTAAAAATTTGTTAAGTTAACCGTTAAATGATGACATGACAAATATAAGGTCCCTATTTATGCTAACGTGACTACTACATTTGTGTCACGTGGCTAACCACTTAATAAAAAAATTTAAACTATTAAAATAATTAATTAAAGAAAGGTATAAAATAAAAAACAGAAACCCCTCTTCATCTTTCCTACCTGAGCCACCCCTCGATCACCTCCACGCCTCCATCCATTTCCCCCATCACTTCTGTACCTTTCTCTAGCCATAAATCCCCTTCATCTTCCTTCTCTTATCACCAATCCTTTGCCCCAAAATTTTCCGACCCCAGGTCGCAGGCCGATCCACCCCCTTCCCCCATCACTTATGCACCCTTCTCTAATCATAAGTCTCCTTCTTCATCTTCCTTCTGTCATCATCAACCCTTAACCCTAAATCTTTCCCACCCCAAGTTGCATGAGGTGGGTTCGATTTCAAGCAGCAGTGATAGCAGGACGCGGCTCGGTGGTGCAGATCTGGCTCTGCTTGGTGTTGATGCTGGAAGTCTCGATTCAAGGAGGCTCAATATCGTTGCAATCGAACATGAGCTTGGTGGGTGGATAAGGGTGGTCGAAGGAGAAGGTCAAATCGCTGGAAAACTAAACGACGGCAGAGGTTAGGGGGAGTTGGTGTTTTTTAGGGGAAGATAGGTTTTTGGGTCTTTATTGGGTTTGAGAAGGAGTTCACAATTAATGGGGGAAGAGGGTGGGCTTGGGTGGGGAAGACGAAAGGGAATTTGGAATTTTGGGTTTAGATGAAGGTGTAGAATTAATGGGGAAGGGATGGGTGATGGGGAATGGGAGATGGGGGTAGGCTTGGGTGGGGAAGACGAAGGGGATTTTGGTTTTTTTTATTTTTTTTCTTTACTTTTCTTTAATTAATTTTTTTAATTTTTTATTAAGTGTTGAGTCACGTGGTACAAATATGACAGTCACGATAGTACAAATGGGGATCCTATATTTGCCACATCATCACTTAACGATCAACTTAACAGATTTTTTTAACGGTTATATGAAATTGAAATAAAATAATATCAAATATACGAGATTGAAATGTTTTAAAGATATTGTATAAGATTGTAATTGCATTGAAACCTAAGAGGGTAAAATGTAATTTATCCGTAAATTAACTATCAACAACTTATGAAGCTGGTGGTGATCCCTTATGATTGACAATGTGGTTTTTGAATTAGACGTACTGGACATCAAATCCGATACTTCAAGTAACGAGGGAGATCTAAATTTTAAATAATCCCTCAAACAAAAAAAAAACTAAAACTAGCCGAAAATAATGAAAACAAATTCACGGGGATAATTTTGTCATAAAAATATGAAAAATTGGAAATTAAAAAATAAATTGGTTTTTTTTTTTTTTTTGCCAAATAAAAAGTAAATTGTTGGAAAAGTTAAATAAAACCTCCAATTGCACTACACTGCCACTTCGCGAAACAAACGTTTTTTCTCCTGGTTAACAAAAAAAAAAAAAAAACCGTTCTTTTCAGCACTACTTCGCCAAACCGACTCCACTACAGTACCACTTCGGATGAAATCTTCCTTTTCTTGCTTCAATTTTCCCAAACAAAAATATGAAACTGCATGCCAGGAAAATCATGAATCCAAACTTTGGAATTGGATTGGTATTCACTATCTTCTCTCTCTGTTTTTATGCATTAGTTTGGAATTGGATTGGTATTCGCTCTCTCCTCTCTCTGTTTTTATGCATTAATTTTACCATTGGATACATTAGGTTCAAATTTATGCAAAATCTTCAGGGAGTAGGGTGCGCTGAAAAATAGATGTTCACATTTCAACAAATTCCACAATCTGCAGACCAAGAAAAATGGTCTTCGCTTCATTTGGTGGTTTAACTCATTTACTTGGAACAGAAAAATGGGTGTGATGTTTATCAATACTATTAAGCTAGAAGGGTTTTTTTTCGATCAATGAAGGAACACAAGTCTCCTCATTTTTCTCTTTATGCTAATGAAGGATATTTAATCGGTTTGTTAGTGATAATTGAGAAGAAATTATGGTTGTTGTTACCGGAAAATAACGAATGAGTGGCTGTGCAGCATTCTCTGGATGAGACTGACCATTTCCCGATTCAGTCCAGTCAGAAAGGGAAGGGCCCTGCTGTCTAGGCTGCATTTTTGGAGTTTGATCACCATCCCATTTCAACCAGAAATACAACCCTGTTAAAGGTATCTAACCTTCCTTCCTTATGAGTGGAAATCCAATTCCATTTGGTCCCTTTTGCAGAAGGGATCACAATTCACAGGTATAATTTGATTTCCACAAATATGAAAAACATTTTTTAATAGGAGGGGATGATTAGTGTTTCTATTTTGTTTAGGTGGGAAGATGATGGACGTCTTCTTCCTCAAAAAACAATATATATTACTCATAGTAAAGATATGTAACCAAATATGTTTGATGATGCTGTCATTCGTCAGTTACCAAGAAGGGGTTCTTGATTTACAAGAACAAGGTGTGGTTTATTATAAAGAATATTTTCCTGATTGGTTACGATGGTTTTGTAATTGTTTGTCTATATCTGTCTAGATTGGTTAATGGTTACGGTGGATCTGTCAATTGTTTTACTCTTTGATAGTATGTCTCAATAAATTTTTGCTACTATTTTCTCAATTTTCTATTTTTCTACTAAATATCTTATCCTTCACTTGCAATGTGTGTAAAGTTTTGTACTGATTTTACTGTGCCTATCGGTGGTGTTTGGTTACTCATTGTGCACGACATTGAAAGTGACGTATCTACAGTGTTAAGGCCTTTTAATTTTTGGATTCCATTTTTTTTTACATTATTTTGGAGAAGATCATATATGGTATGTGCAATTTTTCAAAGTATGGCTTATTTCCACTAATGTATATTGGTGTGTTTTCACTGCAGTTTCACTAACAAAAAAAACCCATGGAGCGTTGGTCAGCTCATTCGTTGGGGCATGTTGGCAATGAAGACAATCAAAGCCAAATTTATATCAGTAGGTGGGTTAGTTAAGAGTGTAGGGAAAAGAGCATTATGTAAAATTGGACTACCACAATACCACATATTGACTTGCATTTTTTTCCTAACATTTCATTTCATTTTTTTAAATTTTTCTTGGTACCAACCTTTTAATGAAACTTACAGTTTTATGAATTGAATGTAGAATGTTAATTATACTGTTTTCTTAATTTCTACAGTTATAGAATTTGATAATCTATTGCATTTAGGTTTTGAAATTTCCAAAAAATAAAACAAAAAAAACAAACCAATGATGAATTATATGAGGCCATCGAAGACAAGGACTGTAGTTTTGAAGTAGCACTATAGTTTTGTGTGTTGTTATTTGATTTTATAAGGTGTTGCTAGCCATTTTAATCAATTTAAAACGTTTTTCTTTGATTTAGTTGTTATCACGAAACTTTTAGAATATTGGTGTTAGTTTTTTTTTTTCTAATGATTCCATCTACTTCGCTTTATATTAATTGTTTTAGATTTCTACTTTAATTGTATTACCGAAGTTTGATTACTAAATTACTTATTACTTTACAGATAGAGAGTTCACAAGAGTCAAGAGGATACTAAGGAGCTATGACTTACAACATACATAGTGACTCAAAATAGTCTTCTATTTTTTCTCTTTTGTTTCTCTCCATGTTTTGTTGTACGTATTTAACCATTCTTTTGTGTTAGTAATTTGTCTACATGCATGTATATGTTGGTATTAAGAGATTGTCTACAATTAGTGTTTTTGTATATGTACGTACAACTATTTTCAAACCTTCTCACGGTGCAACACGATCATTTCATATATACCCTCTGTAATAAAAATTCATCCTTTAATTCAAAAATGGCCAGACACACATAAAAATATAACAAATGTTTGTAAGAAATAATGAAACATAAAAGTATTCAATACCAAATGACATGGTTTGGACATATATAAAAGATCTTTAGGGGCGCATAAAAGTATTCAATATCAAATGACATGATTTGGACATACATAAAACATCTTTAGGTAGCGCCCATGATAATAAAAAAGACCTCTCGCATGCGCGTTAACACGTGCAGAGAGGCTAGTTAAAAATAACAAGCACGAGATAAACAATCCTCTCGTGGTTATCAAACCTTGAGGACTTGTACGAAAATAAGTACTGAATAAGTACAAGATGCACAACACGCCTCTTCCTTTTTCAAGTAAGCCCTCATTTTCAAGTTTGTCTACCCAAAATTAATAATATTCATATACATTCTAATTTCTTTCATTTTTTACAAACACATGAATAAAAATCATATAAATTTTGTTGTAACTAGTAAATATGCGCGTATTGTTAATTCTAAAGGGGATTAATTCAATCGAAAATTTCATTAATTTGCTAGGTGAAAATAGAGAATATTTATTTACTTTGTATTTTAAATATAGGAGGTATTAGAACACATACTGATGACAAACTAATTGTTTTTCTCATGATATCTTGATACCACACAAGACGGTCATGTATTTTAGCTTTTGAGTCAACAATATACCAAAGTAGAATTGTAAACCCAAAGAAAATACCTAAAAGAATTTGAACTCAAATCGAAAATTCTAAATTTTTGCTGGCTTTCCATTTTACCAACTCATTTGGCTTTAAAAGAAATAATAATTTGATATAAGCAAAGTTCTTTTTTTATAATTTGGTTTCATTAAAAATATAAGTAAATAAAGAGGAAATTGTAGCAACGGTTTCTCAACTTTAACTCCTTAAAATATGCAGCTATGATTATTTTTGCCAACTCTATCAAAACTTCTATTAAAACGAGTCATGTTGGAATAATTATTGCTACAATGAGGTTAATGTTAAGAGACCATTACTCTAATTTGGTTAAAGTTGAGAAACTATTTTTATTATTCTCTCATTGAATTTCCCATATTTGCCTCTTGATTCAACCTTACATGCGTGATACATGATTTATTTTGACAAAATTTTTAATGGAGTTGACGAAAAGAATTATAACTGCACATTTTGATAAGTTAAGAAATCAATTGTTATGAATTTTTAGTTGAAAGATTATTGCTCAAATTAGGTTAATTAACACACACGAACACCAAACAATAATATTATCCGGTCTTGGCGTGCCAAACGAGGCCTTATTGTTACAAAATTCCGAAACTATCCCGCGACGAGCTAAAACCAGTAGCAGAAACCTCTTTCGTTTTCGTATAAGTTGCAGACGCAAAATTTCTCAGTCTTCCTCTTCTTGTCATCAGCTAGCACACAAGTCACTCGGATTCGTCGATCAGGCGACCTCCAATTCCGGCGCCCATGACTCTGATGACTCCTCCGCCGCTAGATGTGATTACT